TATGAACTATTTTGATTACTCCAATTCATCCGACCATTTCAACTGAGGGATTTGCAAAATTTCAAATCCTTCGATGTCTATTGTAATTTGAGAACACTTTTCCCGGTTTTTATTCAACAAATCCAGTCTATTACCTTACAGATTGAAAAACAAACGATTATTTCACAGTCCATGGTTTTACAAGTGAGACCAGTTGTTAAGTAAAAAATTTAAGTGAGGTACTTAAACTCAACTTTCAAGTCCCGCTGTTGCTCTTATGTTTATGGAAACTTTAAAGAGATATATCTTCAGGTACCTTATCTACACTAAGAAAATCTGTTTGTATTGGAATAATATGAATAAAAAGAGTAATGGGACATACGTCTAACAAAGATTTGATTTTTGATTTTTGGTGTTTTAACGCCACTTTTAAGCACCGCTTTTGGGCTATTTCGTGGCGGCCAGTTTTTATTGGGGGAAGCTGGAGTGCCCGGAGAAAACCACCGACCTTCGATAGGAAAACTGACAATCCTAGTCAATTAAGATTGAAGTCGAGTGCACCGTCTAACAAAGGGATGTCGGGTATACGTCAATGAAACAAAGTATCCAACGACATAAACACTGTCTTACTAACATCTACTAGAGGTTATCATTCAGTCTTCAACATTAGACAGACAGTTGTTTATACAATGTGACAAGTTCTAAATCTCGGCCAGAATCTATAAAAAGCGTGAATAAATAAAACAACAACAAAAAAATAAAATATGCACCACACTTAATTTTCCAAATATAAAAAAAAAAAAAATAATACATGTATGTCCTATTTTTATAATACATCATATGAGTTTTTAAAATAAATCACATTTTGACCTCTAGATATCATGATTTAGTGTTGTTGCTTTGCTGTCTTATATACGTGTACCCACACATTATTATCATGGAAAGAGGTTTAGGTAACACATCTAAAAATAACCAATACGTAAGATTCTGTACATGTATTCTTGCGTAATTTTATACAATGTAAGAATGCAATAGATTGAAGGAAAAACTATATAATGATCTACAGATTTATAATGTATCAAAATGTCAGCTTTGGCTATTCGTGTAAGTGTATACAATGAAATATCTTGATGCCATTTTAGATTTTAAGTTCTTGTTCGGAAAATTCCATAAAGTAATTTTTGAATTTATTTGTTAGAGACTTTATCAGCATCATATCTATCAACAGCATGCATGACATTCAAAATTTCGGAACATTCGGCACTCTCCGATTCATTTGTTCTATTCATTTCTCTTCAAATAAAGTCAACTTTTATTGACAATTCAGACAAAATGTCTTTTCATTTCGCTAACTAGCTTTTTGTCAATTTTTGTACCATAGCCCACAACGAAGTCCACGTAATGTTTGCAGTTGATAGAAACAAGAACATTCAGGTGGTTTGTAAGTGTCGGTACAATAAATGACAGGAGGGTTTGGTTTGATCTGTCAGGTGCTGCGGGATTTTTTTTACTAAGTACATTTTGATGATACTGCTAGTATATGTATATATAGCAAATTTTGTTTGTGAAATTGACATTAAAAAAAATTACATTCGTAATTGCATCCATAACAAAGAGTTTCAGTTCCTTTACTCATTAGTACTTTTTGTACGATGGGATGAGGTAAAGCACATTTTGTCCAACCAGTCTAACTGCACAGATTTTAAAACATTGAAAAGGAAAATTTGTGATTCCAGAGTACATTTTTTCGTTTTATAGAAAACTTCAAAAATAGAATAATATTTCCTTTTAGACTCATATTCGTGACATACGATAATTTGCTAGTCTTATGATCGAAGTATTAATAAAAAAAACTATTTTGTAAATCCGATAAACTCTCTAAAAAGGCCATCTTCTAAAAAATTTAAAAGTCTATCATGTTGTCACGATCAGATACAAAATGATGTAACGGTAAAGTGATTGATAAGTTGGCATATGAAAATAGATAAAGACACAAAGATAAAAGATTATTCAATGCGTGGAAAGTGCTAAACAATAAAACGTTGGATTGGTGTTCTGTCTAACGTTTTCACAAAAATATCAAGGGAAAAGATGATCAGAAGATCCGAGAGATAAAGTTGTAAACATGGGGTAATGTATATTTTCGATCTCTTTTCTTCTGGAATATAAAAAAAAAAACAACAGCAGTATATATACCGCTGTTAAAAGTCATGAATCAATTAAAAGAAAACAAATTCGGGTTGCAAACTAAAACCGAGGGAAACACATCAACTATAAGAGGAAAACAACGGAACAACAGAAACACTGAACTGCAACAAAAACAAACGCCAACATACATAGAAACGGACTATTTGATAACAACTGCCATATTCCTGAAATGGTACAGGACATTTTAAGAAAAAATGGTGTGTTGAACCTGGTTTTATGGCTAGACAAACCTCCAGTTTATATTGCAATGATAAAAATACAGCTAAAATGACAATATTACGTGACAGGTATACAGTAATAACAAACACAAGAACACTCAAAACAGAGTAATGCATAAATAAATAATATAATAGTACATTACAACATGTAAACCTCAGAATAACAACGGACATCTCCCTTTAACGACAGCACAGGACATCACAAACTGTGCGTCACATGAATGGATCAACGCCACAAAAAAGACATATTTTTGTTATGTATATATAATCTTGAGATTCATAGAACTATATGGAACGAGATCCAAAAATTCACATTTATTTTCACAATCCTAGTCTTAATAATTATTATGATTATGACGGTCTTGAAACTTAAATATATGAAATTAAATTAAACCTAGGTTTTAGCACAATGGTTATTTTTTTCATAATTTATTCATACATTGTACTTTGTACTAATGTATCAAACAAATTTTAAGGAGAATAACGACCTATGAATCTGCTCCAAAACACATACTTACATTTATAAACGAAATTTCATAACTAGGACGCTTACGTTGTGATTTATAACCACAGTAGGTGGACGAAACTGTGTTGTGACTGATTTCTAGCTCTAGCTTTTTAGATTCTAGTATCGTAGAAGTAAACGTTGCTTAGCATTGAAAATAACTATTCATAAAATGTCAAAATGCCTGTAAAGGATTCCTTCATTGCTTACTGTATTCTCATTGAATATCCTGCATTTATCCTGTATTTATCATGTTTTCTAATTAAATAAAGCCATATTCCATGAAGGAACATGTTTAAATCAGTTTAAGCTTTAATTTAGCATTTATCTTCAAAAATAGATGTATACTATATCAGACTAACTCCCTCAGGTTTTTATCTTAATATATTTAATGTATAGTAATTATCTTTGATCGGCGTTCCTTTGTCTATCAGCAAATGATGTGTAAGAAGTATGGATAAGCACATTGTAAGTTTCATTTGATATATTTTCTGATATTATTCATTATTTATACCCAGAAGACAAGAAACAAAATTATACTAAAAGTCTATTTTGTGTAAATTTTGTTATTTTTTCACAACCTAAAAGACATCTCTCCTAAACCGTCGGTACATACATGTAAGAGAGTAGTAGTAGTTGTGTTTGTTGTAGGGGATGGGTAGCAGCAAATGTTGTTTTTGAATTTCATTTTTTTAATTGAAAACAAGAAATTTAAAACAAACTTCTGAGTTCCCATACCTTTGATTATAAATATTATACACCAGATCACCTCCAGTAGAAGCACCAAATACAAAAGGACATTAACAGAATTGCAAAAACAAGCTACTTTTACTATAGTTAATTTTGTCTTCGGGACTTGACACATTACTTTGCGTACAATCTAATTCATTATGAAAACTTAAAATAAAACAGAGGCGAAAGATAGCAAAGGGTTAATTAGCCTCATTAATTGAAAACGGACCGACAATGCCATGTCAAACAACAAAACGACCTTAAGACACACAACAGTCTACAAAACACAACATGTACCATTTTAATAATGACACTAGCAGAAGTGGGTAGATTTTGAAATCGCTGCAGCCGGTGAACAAAACATTTTATTGTCAACAATTTAGCATTGTTTGATGAAAGTTAAGAGTTTATTGCAGACTAAAAATAACTAATTTAACTGTGAAATATATTTTACCGATATATAAATAAATACATTCACTTCTGAGGTTTAAGCCTTCGACAGAAACAATTAAATATTTCGGGGTTTTAAAGTACTTATCTCTTTTCACTACCCTAATTAGTGAGTTAGCCAGAGCTAAATGATAGAAAGTAGACAAAAAATTGCTGTCAACATTAAAAATATTGGTATTAGAAAAAAAAAATATTTATGTTATAAATCATGCCGTTAGTTTTCTCTTTTGAATTGGTTTATATTTTGTCACGTCGCCTAATATGACTGACTACCCAGCAAACACACAACATTTTAAAAACATTTTTTAAATGTTATATGAACGTCTCTCACAAAAATATTTCAATAAGATATCATTTAAACATCAAAAAAATGTTTTTTTTATTGTTTTTGAAATGTTTTATTTCTAACATTTAAGTAAAATGTTTTTATACAACATTAACAAAATGTTATTTGCTTATATCTTTTATACATGTTCTCAAACATTATTCTAAAATATCCCGTAGATATTTTATAATATAAAATAAAAATACTATTTTCTTCAATTGGTATTTCATATTGTTACAACATTTAAAGTAAATATTTTCCAAATATCCAAAAAACATACTGCAAAAAATATTTTACAGAAAATATAGTTTTGCTATTTGCATAAAATGTTTTATAACGTAAAACTAAAATGTTTTACATAAAACATCTGAAAAATATCTGCTAAATGTTTTCTATAAAATATTTTGACATACACATTATTTAATAGTCTTACTGATATTTTATTCAACATTTTACGGATATAAACATAACATTTTATTTAAACTTTATTCAAAACCCCACAAACAAAATTTTGTGGAATTAGCTTGGTTTTTCTTCAGGATAAGATATATTACTACATTTCATCAGTATCATGACAAGCAAGATACTATACCGTTGAAATCCTTGATATCTTGAAGTCAGATTTTATTCCTTCTTATATTAAAATTCAAAAGAGTCAACATTAAATTAAGCAATAATGTATTAATAAACAATCACCTTTCTTTAATGTTTATTCATTTCGTTCGTGTATATTTTAGAAATTAAGAAATGAAAACTGTAACTGTACTAAGTTCCATTTTCGTATCGTTTATATGCATTACGGAAAACCGACCTTTTCCGGAATCGACTTTTGTTTTATCACCGGAAATGATATTAAATTTTGAAATTTGAAACGAAGACAGGATATCAACAAAGAGAGCCAAGAAAATTGTTTGTTACGCGATATATACTCACTTGGTAAGAATGAATAATCTCTTAAGATGAAACCTGTGCGTTCATTTTGTGTTTTCAATCATTATTGGAACCAATACATCTGTATCTAGAGGTGCGGATCAAGGTTTTGAAAAAAGGGGGGCCCCTGCCCAAGGCAAGCAAACGTTTGGAGTGATACTTGTAAATAGTCTATGCAGTTATCTTATATGTAGCCCCATAATGGGGTCGGGGCCCCTAAATCCGCCACTGTTCTGGCATCTACGTACACCTATTATGAATTTGTTCATTGATATAAAAATAAGGATATGTGTCTTGTGTGTTTGATTGCCAATACACCTTATCGCTATAATTTGTCCGCCATTACTGGCCATGGACATCACAAAAATTCCCGTAAAATGTTGACGTCATAATAGAAAATATTTGACACCACAATGGAAAGTAATACACCTTATCGCTATTTGTCCGCCATTACTGGACATCACACAACTGTCACAAGTTCCCGTAAAATTTTGACGTCATAATAAAAAATATCTGACGCCACAATGGAAAAGTGATTGTTGTTTGACGTCAAAAGTTCAAGCAGGACAGATTCTCGGGTCAAGCGGAAATAGCGATAAGGTGTATAATTGTATGACGTATGCTGACGTAAAAAGTTCAAGCGGGATAGATTTCCAAATACTGAAATAGCGATAAGGTGTATGAGACAGCTATCCACCAGAATTCAAATGACTTGGATAAAAGAAATTATAGGTCACTGTACGGCTTTCAACACTGAGAAAACCCATACCATATAGTCCACTTTAAAAGGCCTTGACAAACAAATGTTAAATATTTCTCAACACAATTGAAACAAAACAACTAACCGCCTGCACTAAATACACATTATGAAAAACAAATATGACAGACTTAAACCAACAACAACTATTGCAATAACAGACCTGCCAACCTTCACGCTTTATAGGGGATTTCCCCCATGTGAGGTGTTGATCGGAATTTTGAAATTCGTTATTATACAAATTAAACACCTGAAAACAGGCATCCAAATGAGTTAAAAGGGGATTTAAGCACATGCATACTCATTCAAACAATATAGTAGTAGACTAGAAAGTCTTATGACAATATAAGAGGAGCATTTAGTCATCTCGCTCTTGAAATCCCCCATGGAGATTTTGAAAACTTGGCAGGTATGCAATAAGCATGACTCAATACCTTGTTCCAAGGCACACAAACAAGTTACAATAACATTAATATAAGCACCATGTGAATATGGAGATTTTTTTTTCTAGTAAAATCAGTGTATGTATGTATTTGCAAAACAGTAAATTAAATTTCCCTAAACAGCTTAATGAACATCACAAAGACTGTAAGATTTCAGTACAAGCAATATGATATATACTGATACTTAAAGCTATATTTATTGATTCATATACACAATGTACTTACACTGTATCTTTTATTTTTTAACAGGAGCTATAAAAAAAGCCACAAAGGACAAGTTCAATATGCAGGTTTACAATTTGGAAGTGGCACAGGTTCTTTGGAATGTCGACAACCTTTCAGGAGAAATTTGTTTTTGAAGTAAGATTTTCATACAGAATTACTGTTATTCCATATTTAATTCAAATATTTAGCATAAACAATACATTACATTCAAGATTAAGGGCATACAATACTGAAAAGATATCTGGATATTTGAATAAATTATTTTTGTTATGACAAAACTGAAACAAGTTGTTTATTTAAATCAATCTTTTAGTCCAACAGTGTGCTTTCATAAACAACATATTTGCTTTCTTTGAAGTATTTCAAATACATATAAACAACTCATTTAATGACATCTGTGCGTTTCTCGGAAGTTAAGTTATATTATTATCATCTCGCGAAAACAATGCGTAACACTTCAATAAGTTATTATGTGCCTATAGGACTGTATCATATGCCCTTAGATACAAATGACAAATTATAAACTATGTCACTGTACAGAGTTTAACACTTAAAAAGGACAATAAGATGTTTAATGAAGCAGGGATTTTAAAGGCCCCTACATGATACAATGTATTTAATAAATACTAAAACAAAAACAAGAAAAGAACAACCTGATTTTTACAAAACAATAAAAGAAAAAAAAAATATGATAGACAACAATCAACGAGTATAATGAAATAAGACTCTTGACTGGACACATATCTAGTCTAAAGTTTTTTATGTGTTTTCTTTTATAACTGAATGAAGTTCAGCGTAGCATATTGCTTAACACGGTCAGCCATTTATTGTCCCCTTCCGACACACTATCATCGTTATGTGTTTCAAAACTTTAAAGGGGTGGGGATGTACATCTTTCAGGCAATCTGAATCGTTCTCTAATAAAGGAATGTGCAAGAAGTTTATACATAACCCATGTATATGAATGTAAGATTAATTGTTTTTTCAGACGCATGGCACAGCAAGAAAAAGATATAAGTCACTAAAAGACATTCCAAGTGGTTTTGAATAAGACAATTAATTGACTTTTTCAATGTATTCTTAAATAAATCAAATAGTTGATGTAAAATGGTGTTTTGTTCTCATCTCTTAAGCCAATTATCAACAATTATTGACTTAAGATGTAATCCTATTAGAAGTGTTACGTTTGAGTTTAGAAAGAGAAGTTATATTGAAAAATCTGAATTTGGGACATAAGTTTTAGTCTATGTAACTTGAACTTAAAAATGTGTATAATGTTTGCATAATGTCCAATGGCATATATGTCATGCATGTTCAGGTTGACATATGCATGATTTGTATAAGATAGGTAATAAAAGTTGAGAGTGAAAAACTAAACATTATACCATTGTGGTAGGAATGTGGACTTTCTTGCACTGTCTGTCGTCTGTCCACCTATATTTGTCGGATTTTGTCCAACAAATATTTTCATTACTGTTTTTCCCAAAACTGTTGATCAAGATGAGTTCATATTTGTTGAGCTGCTTGATTGTGATGAACTGTGATGTGTGAACATTTTTGTATCTGGCACCTGTTTGCTTATACGTTGTATTTCAAAATGTTGAATTTTTCATTACTTTTATTGGTAATGCTGCTGAACAGAATGCCTTCATATTTGGTAAGTGGCTTGACCATGATGAGTTGTGTCTGCCATTTGGGATGTGTCAAAATTTGTAGATACTTCTTGTTTTTAGATACTTTGAATTGTGAATGTTCATATGCTTAGCAAAACAACTGATTTATTCTTGTTTGTATATAGAATAAATCACTGTGTATAAATTAAACTAATGATTTGTTATTTAAAAAAGCAGGAAACTCAGTCAAAAGTACAGAAATTTTTATATTGATATGATCTAGATATCAACCAAAAACATCTTCTTAAAACATTTTGAAAACATTTTTTGGCACAGTCTCACTTGAAAGGAAACATCCCAAAAAACATTTCTGTAACATTATTTGATATTCATAATGTTTTTCAAACGTTCAGAATATATTTCTAGAAAATATTTTTTAAAAGATTATCAAAATGTTTTATAGGCCATTGGTTTTCACATTATCATGATATTTCTTGACAACATTTTAATTATATTATGCAAATATTTTAGAAAATATATTAGAAAACGTTTTAGAGATATATATTCAACCATACAGTTTATGTTTTTCCCACGTTTTTTGTGATATTTTCATGACATTAGACACAACATTTTCATAACATTTTAGAGATGTTTTTGTGTTTGCTGGGTATGCGGTATGATTTTTTTTCTCTAAAACTGTTGAAGGTCTTACGGTGACTTCACAGTAGTTTGCTAACATCCACACCATTGTGACTCTTAAGAAATGTTGTCTAATTGGTAAGCATACTTCGTCGCCTTATTTTTATGAAGATACAAGTAAAACACTATTGCATTTTACCGTTTCAAAAAAATACTCGGGTTTTCTGACAGAAATCTCGAAGATACAATGTCACATCTTAATTTGTTTGTCTCTAGCGTAGAACATCTACAATGGCCATCTTTGTTGCTATCACGTAAGATAGCTTTAACTACGTTTAAGATATCTCTGGTAAACTCAATTGAAATTAATACATAACCTGTTGAATTTTTGCGATTAAGGGCTCGACAGAGGATATAGAAATGTGTCTTTTGTTAATAAACGTATGTTGACTTTGACATTGTGTAGTTGGAATCTGTTTCAATGATATCTTTACGTATCTCCTCATTAATATGTAGCAAATTCAACACTTTTTTGTGTGATTGAACTTCCTCTTGAATGATGTAAATTTGAATAAATAGATTTTACTCTTAGATACAGGATTTTTTCTTAGTTGTTAATGTGTCTCTCTGATTTTTACAGTGTGTTCTTAACATGTTGTAGTGTTACACAACACTCTGTGTGTGTCTTATCCAGGTCAAGAGCCAGTAATTCAGTGGTTGTCGTTTTTTGCTGTAAATCATACATGTATTTGTTTTTCGTTTATTGTTTTGTACATAAATCAGACCGTTTTAATTGTTTTACATTTGTCATTTGTTGGCCTTTTGTAGCTTACTATGTAGTATTGGATTTGCACGTTGTTGAAGACCGTACGGAGACCTATAGTTGTTAACTTCTATGTCATTTGGTCTCTGATTGAGCGTTGTCTAATTGGCCAAATTTGGGTGTCTGTTTGCTTGTGTGGTGGCTTTGACGGAAAGTGAAAAAAATTAAAATAAAAGAAACAACGACCTGATTTATACTAAAACAATGAACGCAAACACAAATATGGCAGACATTAACCGACGACAACCACTGGATTACGGATATTTTGGTTTTGGACTGGCTGTCAAAATGTAGCGGGATTAAACATGTTTGTAAGTTCTGAAACCCAAAAGACACCGATCTAGGAATATTCATAGTTTCAGGGAGCCCAAATTTGATAAAGTTATAAAACATGTTCTATTAGACTAAACACTAATCTATCAATGCACCTTAAACGGATTTGGTGTAGCGACATCATAAGTAGTTTGAGAAAAGTCATGACCTTGTACATAAAACAAAGTATCGACAGATTGTAAATGTAGGACCCAACCATAAGCATTTAAGGCACATTTGACTGGGTTTTTATTGCCATTCATGAACTATTTGAAATCATTTCCTTCGTTAGGTAAATTATGATTTTCTGGTGCACCTAACAGCTATTAAGTTAATCTGAAATAAACCTGGTATAGTGAACAACACTAGACAATGATCCGATACAGATTGATCATCTCAACCAAATTTGGTTCGCTAGTCTTCTTTTTGACAATATGTAAAAAAGCAAAAAAAAAAAAAAAAAGAAAAAAAAGAACAGTTAAGCTAAATAAAGAAGTAAACAGTATTGAGGTAAAATGCAGAATTAAAGTAACCTGTTAAACCCCTAATTTGCCCTTTTTAACATTGACGGTACCAATTTTTCTGCACCAGTTGCGCATTTTGACAATAAATGTTTCTTCAGTGATGTTTGAGGCCGAATGATTTGAAAATCAAAACAATGAAAGGCTTATAAACCAAAAATCACAAAAAAGTATAACCATAATTGGACAAGGAATCAGAAATGTGCATGAGATATGTTCCTTGATTTAAAGTAATTTTTCAAAATTTTGTAACAACAAATTTAAAGAACACAAAATCCGTATTTAATGCCAGTATCAAAGTTCTGGCTACTGGGCTGGTGATACCCTCGATATGATAACGGTAGACATGAACGTTTGACATCTTCCTCATAAAGCAAGTATCATTATATCTTATTTTCCAATAAATCAACAAATTAACCTGTTTGATTACAAGCATAATTAAATGAATACTAGTAGTACTTAAAAGGACTCCAATCATTTAAGAGACGCATCTGTCAATATTTATAAATTGACTATTAAACAAAAGCTTGATGTAGACAAAAATGTGTTGATGTTTGTGAGTATAAATTAACCTAATATGATTTGTGCGCTTTGCCTGTTAACGTTGAAAATCGGAAGAATTTAATATAACAAACGAGTAAATGTTAATTAAAATTTCCAATCATGATAGTTGTTGTAACCCAGAATAAATTGAGTTTTATAAAACTTTTAACATTGGAAATAACTTGTATATTTAATTGTGAGTGTTAATGTTTGTGATTATAAATTTATCTAATATAATATGTGTGCTTACGACTGCTAACACTGTAACTCGGAAGAATTTGATACTACAAATGAGGAAATGTTGAAAACATGTTTTAATTATAATAACTCGTCGTTACTCAGAATAAATTTAGTTTACGTAGGAAACTTTAGAAAAAAACTTTGAAATTGGAAATAACATGTAAATATGATTGTCTTTCTGTAAGTTGTACTGTTATATTTACTCAACAACGATAAAAATGTTCCTGCAAGTTCATTAGTACAAGTAAATACAAACGTATTTGGAGGCTTAACATTTTCTATAAATATAAGATTAAAAGATATACATTATTATTCATATAGAGCCATGTTCTGTCTAGATAGTTGTTCCAATTACTCACTAATCACTTGATCTATGAGAATAATTACTGACCTAATAATAACTAGCATGTCTCAGACGAAAGTTAATTGTCGGTTTAAAGATTTGTAAGGCATTTTATAATAAAATCACGGAGATATAAGCATCCAAGTACTATAACTGTTATTTTTATGTAAAACATATTTAAATGAAAAATGAGAATACAGGCAACGTATTATTTCTCAATACATATTATTTTAATGTTTTTCAGACTAAGCAATAATTGTGTCATATTCTTGTCCTTTTAAAACTAAATAATCAATCTTAGATTAATGTCGCTCTCGTTTTGTAACGTTTGCCTGCGATAGTGATATTACACTTTAGATTAAATGATGGTTTTGCATTAGCTAATTTGATTTGGATACTTTGTTTGTTTTCTATTGCTTTTCTGTTTTCTCTTGTTTTTGTTTTGCCGCTTATCTTAGTCACGAAGGGATTATCTAGTGGGTTAAAATTACTTCATCATCGGTTTCGTCAGCAATTGCTTAATTCAACTAATAAGAAAATAAAAGAATTCTATTTGAAAATTTGCGGGCATCAATAGGCGATGTGCTGCTCGCAAATTGAGTTAGTTAGTAACCGGATACTTGCAACTATTAAATTAAAAAAATGATGCTTGCAAATTTTAAATGCAGTAGCATCATCACAATTATCATGCAACTGAAAAAAATCATCGTTGAATTATTTATTTCAACATTATGTACACGACGTTTACGCTTGCCCTCACAATTTCAGATAAAACACATAAAGTTATAAAATATACGTGGAAATTGAATAATAAAGAAAAAGTCTGTGTGATTAATTGATAGTTACCAATCAAAAATGTTTCAAATGTTCTTTGTCTTTATGCATACGTAAAGTTGAGAACTATTAGACTCTAACATTGGGTATTCCATTGTTTTCTGTTTTGTTCAAAACCTGTTGCTCAATTTAAATGAATTTAACACATAACGCTATAACTGGATATATTTTACAATTATGTCTTTTTTTGGAATGACATCTTTTTCAACATGCAGAAAAGCTGAGATCACACCAGGTTTATTAGTAGTGGTTCGTAATTTGGTCATTTTGTTGTCTGTTCCTTTTTTGAATTATAGTTTATGATCATTCCTGGTACCTCCTTATCCATATTTAAGAAGAACAGGTATTGCTATTTAGAAAATGGAATGGACACCATGTCAAATATACGTGTATTTTTGTTTTTCTTTTAAGATTTGTATGTTTAGACTTTGAATCAATTGTTTTAGTAACACATTTGAATCTGGAGTAGTAATGCATTATTTATAACTTGCAGCCTGATATATCCAGGATCATCATTGTAAACAACAGTGAAATGGAACGGTGAATTATCATATGAAATAATCAGACTTATATTGAATGCTAAAGATGTGTTGACGTATTGTCCTTGTAAAATAAATGACTTGTAATAAATTTTAAAACATGTAATTATGTAAATTGGTAACAAAGAAAACTTTAATGATTGAGTTGTAAATAT